TCATTCACCTAGAGCTGCTAAATGAGCCCCTACCTTAAAGAAGGTAGGAGGTCACATCTCAGTGATTTTACAGAACTGGTATCTTGCCTGAAATATCATTAATTCTGACTATGGAGATTGAGATGTATTAGGGCACTCACCCAGTAGATCGACGTTTGGGTTTAACTGAACGTGACCAAGGGTAGCTTCAATTAGCAGGGTTAAATCTGTAGCATAGTCAACTGTATTGTACCATATCTGAAGAAAAATAGTTTTAGCTGAAGTTCACTCTGTAAGGAATTGAGAAAAGAGCTGCCAAAAGAAGAAAAGAAACGTGTTGTTTCCAGCCATGCAAAGAGAAAAGGGTAATCTGATCATGAAGTTTGAGTGTCCTGGACCCTCAGCAGTTACATGCCAGAGATAGAGATGGCTGTACCAGCTTGATGGCATTGCTAGGATCCCATGCTTATCAAACGGCTTCCTGATTATAAAGTGGCTGCTCGTGTAGATTCTCCTTTAAGCAGAGAATGCACTAACCAGAAGACTCTGTTTTTCAGTTCCTTTTGGTATTTCATTGTAATTTATACTTTGGCATTTTGGCTGATATGTTGGTCTCCTATGGATTTATACCCCACAGGGTCTTGTGGATCTGTATCCTATGTCTGGGTCTATTGCCAAAATCAGGTTTTTGGGTCTCTGCCCTGAGGGTCAGGCCATGCACTGTAGTGACCAGCCAAAGAACTGTTTCTGCATGGCTGTAAGATAGCTCCTAAAAGAAGAGTTCTATAGCTTCTCTTGGAGTCCCTGGGTGGTACAACTGGTTAAGTGCTCGGCTGCTAACCAAGAGGCCGAAGGGTCTAGTCCACCCAGAGGCACCTTGGAAGAAAGGCTTGGCACTCTACTGCCGAAAAAATCAGCTGTTAAAAACTTTATGGGGCACAGTTTTAGTCTGACACAGATGGGGTCACTGTGAGTTGGAGTTGACTGGAGAGCAACTGGTATAGCCTCCCTTCGCAAAGGGAAGTAGTTAAACATAAGTAATCTTATGAGTGGAGCCCTAGTGGCACAATGGTTAAGAGCTGGGCTGCTAACCAAAAGGCTGGCAGTTTGAATCCACCAGCTGCTCCTTGGAAACCCTATGGACCAGTTCTACTCTGTCCTATAGGGTCACTATGAGTCAGAACTAACTTGACGGCACAGAACAACAAACAACAATCTTACGAGTGTCTAACCTTAAAACTATTTGGATGTATTATCTCAGATTTCTGGAGATGAGAATCAACGGCAATCAGCTTTTATTGTTGATCTCATTTCTTTGCTCCCAGTTGTCCCTCATCAGGATGATCTCACATGTGAAATGGCAAAGATAGACTCTGCATTTCAGAAAATGTAGATAAATTTAGTATATTCTGTACTTTCAGTAGGATGATAAATTTTTGAGATGAGAAGCTCAGATAAAGGAATAACTTAATATAAATATGTTGGTTTTGAAATGATAATTTATATATTATCTATTTTTCACACAAATGAAATGCTTTAAAGATAGATATTTTCTCATTGATTACTAACATGTTGTGATAAAAATAAGGAGCAGAGCTCAGATCTCAGGGATGCTGAAAACCCAAGAGCATAACCAAAATCATTTAGGAAGCTATCAAAAGAATAAGCAGAAAGCAAAACTTGTGATCCCTCCTCTTTTTTTCATTAAATGATAGTTCTTCAGTGTGAGTTCATGAATAAATTATACATGGATGACCCTCTATGTGGATTCTGGCATTAAATCTTAAGCTTAGCAGAGTGCTTGATCCTCAATAAATGTTATAGGATATGAATGCAAATTCCCTGGATCTAGCAATTATTAATAGTGACTTGCTTGAAAAAGCATGCAGCACGTCAGATTGTTTGCACTGAACTAAGAATCTTCTACTATTATTTCCGTACAAGATTTCTGTCCCTGTTAAAAAGTCTTTATGAGTTTGAGGGTAGTCTAATTAAAGATCAATTCAGATAGGGCAGAGGGCAGGGGAAAGATCTTATTTGATCTTCTAGTCTTATACCAAGTACACTGCTTGCCATTATGAATATTTCTTGAATGAATTAATTACTTGTTAAGAATCTACTGAAACCATCTCCAACAGTATTGGAAATTGACAACTGGATTATATACTGGATTTTGTTTTAATTTTCTTTGCTTTTTTTTGCTTTCTTTTTATACTTGCCATTGGAGATTTCCCCAATTTCTCTGTCCTGAACATAGGAAGATTTAAAATTACTGGGGTTTTAAAGTAAAAATTAAGTGGGGATATAGCATGGCATAAGATAACCAAGTCAAAAATGTTTCTTCAAGAAATGGATTTTAAAACTTCCACTTATTTTTGTATATTCCTGCACATAGTTACTCTTACAGGTTAGTCAAAATTAGCTCATCTCATTAACTTTGTAGTTCATATAATGCTGTGGTACTAACAAAATTCATCTAAGGTGTTTTTGACTTTCACTACTTGAACTCGATTGTCTCAGTGGCCACCATGATTTATAGATGCAACTTTACTATTTGAAATTTAAGTAACTGAGTCAAAGAGAGAAAAATGTATCCCAAGTGGTTTATCAAGATATATACCGATAGCACAAAGGTTAAGCCATTGGCTGCTAAGTGAAGGTTGGTGGTTTGAACCTACCCAGTGGCTCTGCTGGAGAAAGATCTGGTGATCTGCTTCCGTAAAGATTACAACCAAGAAAATCCTATGGGGCAGTTCTAATCTGTAACATGGGGTCACTAAGCGTTGGAATGGACTCGATTGCACCCAACAAGTAAGAGATGTGTCTCTGGGTTGTGCAAACGGTTAGTGCACTCTGCTGTTAACTGAAAGGTTAGAGGTTCAAGAATACCTACAGGCACCTTGGAAGAAACGCCTGGTGAAAAAAAATCAGCTGTTGAAAACCCTATGGAGCACAGTTCTACTCTTCACACACAAGGGATCGCCATGAGTTGAAGTCCACTCGACAGCAACTGTTTTTTAAGTAAGAGGTAAATAACCTAATCTAAACCGTAACCTTGTGATTAAAAGAAACCAACCAACCAACCAAAAGACCTCAATCTTTCTACTAGGCTTCAAAAGTCACGTAACGCCAACATTATCATTTTTTTCTTTCAGAGTGTCCTAATAATTCCTTTATTTACTCTTTGTATTTATCGAGTAGACTTGACCATGGTTTGACCTACCAGAAGTCTCAAATAGTTAAATATAATTATGTTTCAATTTACTCAGATTCTCCTCTTCCCTTGGGAGAACAAAAGGTAATTTCTATATAAAACAGTGCGAGTAACATTTCTCTTTCTAAGACAAAGAGTTTCTTTCCAATAAAAATAGACAATAAAGGTTAATATTCCCCGTAAACACTCCTTGACATCTTTTTGGCTTAACAGAGAATATAAAACCAATCCCATATTTCCCGAAAGCAGTATATTGGAAAGAGATATCATTTTCAGAAAAACGATCACCATTTTAACTCTAATTCAGAACTTTTTGAAGAGAAAAACTACACTATAAGGAAAGACTAGGCCTCAGGGTCTATGCTTATTTTTAGCTCTTAATACTTATGAAAATGTGTTTTGTAACTGAACTTAGCCCTTGACACTATTTTTTTTTTTTTAACGAAGCAAATCTTGCCTATTGCACAATTTTGAGATCTGGTTCACAGGACACAATATTGCCAAGCAAAGCCAGTTAGGACACTAAACAATAAAAATAAAACCAACCCACCTTTAATCTCACTCATATTTTCTTTTGTTCTACACTTGTTCTAAAGACATCATTTTACCCAGGACAACATTAAAAAAAAAAACAACAACAACAAACCAAACCCATTGCCATTGAGTCGATTCCGACTATAGGACAGAGTAAACTTGCCCCATGGAGTTTCCAAGGAGTACCTGGTGGATTTGAACTGCTGACGTTTTGGTTAGCAGCCGTAGCACTTAGCACCACACCACCAGGATTTCCAGAACAACATAGTACATGAGAAATTGGCTTACCAACAGGGGAGGATATACACTCTCCAATTTCTACTCTATATGTGTTTATCTCTTGCCACAGCTTTCAGCTGAATGGAAGCTTTGTGCTGTGTCCAGAAAGCAGTCACACTAATTTGGGGTCTGTAATAGCAGCCCAATCTAATCTTGCCTAGACCTAACACAGCAACTCATAGCCACCCAAACCCTGACAGAGGCATGGTTGAGAAATGAAACAGTGAATCTATCATGAAGCTTGTAATAAAATAGTCTCATCCTGGCCCTGCCTTTATCACGATTTTCTCTTAAAAGTCCTCTTATAGAAAGGGCAAGAAGCCTTGGTGGCACAGAGGTTAAGCACTCGGCTGCTAACCAAAAGGTCGGGGCCTTGAACCCTCTAGCTGCTTTGAAGGGGGAAAGAAGTAGCAGTCTGTTCCTTGAAGGTGACAACCTTGGAGACCCCATAGGGCAGTTCTACTCTGTTCTATTAAGGGTACTATGAGTTGGAATTGACTCCATGGGAACGGGTACTTATTGCTGCTAAGATGAGGTTTTCTGTCGATCAGTTCTGGCTGAGTAATCAGATACTTGAGCTAGATCCTCTTTTAGGTTTCCTCATAAGTTTTTTTTTTTTTTTAATTGTGGTAAATATATATGTAGTGAATCTTTTGAAGTTTCAATAATCTTCACATGTGCAGTTCAGTGACATTATATTCATCATGTTGTTCAGCCATCACTCCTATCTGTTCCCAAGCCTCTTAAGTCTTAGGTGCACATCCTTGAGCTGTTTTCTTGTTTCAATAAAGTCATATGTAAATATTTCATCTTCCTGCATTACTATTTTGCGCTTGTTGTTGGTGATATCTATGTGTTTGAAAGCCTTTGGAGAAAAAGGAATAGCAAACATTGCTTTGAAAGATAATTTAAGTTGGATTTGCCTTTCAATTGCTGGGGGAAATTCTGACAACACAACTATTGCCAAGAGTTTGGAAGCAGGAAATGGATGTACCATCCTCACGATCCGCCAGGATAATCACTGTAGTGGTGGGGAATTTGGCTCCCAGTTGCCCTCCCACTGGCAGGCTCAGTGAGACCCTGAAGGAGTCCTCCTCTTCATAAAGGGAGTCATCAAGGATTACGACCTGGCAGGTCTTCTCAGTCTTATCCTAATCAAAGCGGAGGATGCTGGTGTGGTCTTCTGGACGTGAGACGTAGTCAGGGAAAGACAAGACTGCGGAGGGAATTGTGCCTGTGGCAGAACCTACGTGAATATGAGAAAGAACAGTGAAGGTGAGAAAGAAACGGAATTCCAAGGAGGAAACCTGTTCCCTTCTGGTTCTTCAAACTATTTCTAGATGATAGCTCACTAAATTATAAGGTACACTCATCTGTAACTTACAGCCACCGATATTAATACTGCAATTAGAAGGCTTTCAGAAGAGACTCTGGTATTTTTACGTGATCAAGATTTAGTGATCTTTAAATGGGGTATATGTTGAAAAAACGGCAGTGGTAGTTCAGTGGTGGACTTCTCACCTTTCACGTGGGAGACCTGGGTTCCATTCCTGGCCAACGTACTTCAAGTGCAGCCACCACCCATCTGTCAGTGGAGGTTTGTGTGTTGCTATGATGCTGAACAGGTTTCAGTGGACCTTGCAGACCAAAGACAGACTAAGAAGAAAGGCCTGGCGATCTGCTTCTGAAAAATCAGCCAATGAAAATCTGTCGATTACAATGGTCTGATCCTGTTGTGTATGGAACCTCCATGAATCAGGGGGAGGGGAGCTGACTCCATGACAGCTAACAACAACAACATTGACTAAAGTTTGTTGAGATTAGGGGACAAATGAACCAAAGGATCCAAATGATTCTAGGGCTGATTCTAAATGTTATGAATGGAAAAACTGAGATCCAGAGAAATTAGGACCAGAGATTCTATATAATGATAATGGTATAGATTTTCTCCCTTTCCAAGTCCTGCCCATAGTGGCAGGGCTGTGAGTAGCATCTGTGTAATCTGACACCATTCCCCACCTCAACTAAAGTTTCTTTCATTACACTATAACAGAGTCACAAACAGAAATTACTTGTTATTTTCCAAGGAGTGCAGGATTCAACGATTTCAGTTTAGATTCCATGCACTTTAAAATTTATTATAATAATTTACATACATTAAGTTTCACCAATTTAAAATGCACAATTTAATGAGTTTTGATAAATATATATGGTTATGTAACCACCACCATGCTCAAAATACAGAACATTTTTATTCCTCTGCAAAAGTTAACTTATATTCTCTTAAAATCCACCCCTTTTCTCCACCAGCTGCCTCCGACAAACACTGCTTTCTGTCACTATTGGTTTGGCTTTTGGAGAATTTCATGTTCTCAGTGGAATCATACAGTAAGCATCTTTTGTGTCTGGTTTCTTTCACTTAGCATAATGCTTCTGAGATTCATCCATGTTGCTTTATGTATCAGGATTGTGTTCTTTATTTTGCTAAGCAGTGTTCTATTGGATGGACATGCCACAATTTGTTTATCCATTTACCAGCTGATGAAAATTTGTGTTGTTTCTAGCTTTTAACTATTCTGAAAAATGTTGCTATGAAGATTTTAGTACAAGCCTTGGAGTGGGCATATGATTTTGTTTTTTTTGAGTAAATATTTAGGAATGAGAGTGTTGGAATTCAGCACATTTTTTTTCGGTATAAAAGCATATCAACACCTACGTTTAGAGCTAAAAATGTGAAAAGTAGTCACAGTAATTTAAATGATTTAGGCAGAACAAAGACTGCCTGTGTGAAATAACTCAATATACTAAATAAGCAATATTTGAAAAGTATACATATTTCCCACTACACCTCTCCCTGATATGAAATGGTGGCAAAATGACAGTGAAATTCTGGACTGGACAATCTAGTCTCATAAGGGTCTTTCTTGTTTATATTGTGGTATATGTATATTCACATGAAAACACTTATGCCTGTGGTCTTGTCAATATGAATCAGTATAAAATATATATAAGCTGACATCTCTGTGTGTTACATGTATGCATATAGCTTGTTAAAAAAATGAAACTGGTTTCCAAATTGACTTTGCATGCTTCAATCAGAAGGGCACAGGCTCACAAAATATTTCAGAATGGTTTTTTCATAGAATGACTTTTAAAACTTGTTTTTATTAATTGCATTGAGTTGGCTCTGACTCATGGCAACTGTCATGGTTTAAATTATGTCTCCCCAAAAATGTGTGTATCAGTTTGGCTAGGCCATGATTCCTGGTACTGTGTGATTTTCCTGTATGTTGTAAACCTGCCTCGATGATGTTAATGAGGGAGGATGGGTGGCAGTTGTGTTAGTAAGGCAGGACCTGATCTACAAGACTGGATTGTGTCCTGAGGCAATCTCTTGAGATTTAAAAGACAGAAGTGAGCAGTGAGACAGGGGGACCTCATACCATCAAGAAAGCAGTGCTGGGAGCAGAGTGCGTCCTTTGGACTGGGGTCCCTGCGCAGAGAAGCTCCTAGTCCAGGGGAACACTGAAGAGAAGAAGGCTGAAGGAGAGAAAAAACCTTCCCCTGGAGCTGATGCCCTGAGTTTGGACTTTTAGCCTACTTTGACTGTGAGGAAATAAACTTCTGTTCTTTAAAACCATCCACTTGTGGTATTTCTGTTATAGCAGCACTAAATGACTAAGACAGCAACTGATACGGATTGAATTGTGTCCCCCCAAAACTGTGTCAGCTTGGCTAGTCCATGATTCCCAGTATTGTGTGATTGTTCACCATTTTGTCATCTGATGAGATTTTCCTATGTGTTGTAAATCCAACCTCTATGATGTTAATGAGGTGGGATTAGCGGCAGTTATGTTAATGAGGCAGGACTCCATCTACAAGATTAAATCAATCTCTTTTAAGATATAAAAGAGAGAAGTGAGAAGAGAGACAGAGGAACCTCATACCACCAAGAAAGTAGTGCCAGGAGCAGAATGCATCCTTTGGACATGGGATCCCTGGACTGAGAAGCTCCTAGACCAGGGGAAGATTGATGACAAGGACTTTCCTCCAGGGCTGACAGAGAGAGAAAGGCTTCCTGTGGAGTTGGCACCCTGAATTTGGACTTCTAGCCTACTAGACAGTGAGAGAATAAACTTCTGTTTGTTAAAGCCATCCACTGGTGGCATTTCTGTTATAGCAGTGCTAGGTAACTAAGACAGCAACCTTACGTATAACAGAACAAAATGTTGTCCAAACCTATACCATCTTCCTGATCATTGCTATGTTTGGGTCCTTTGTGGTGGCTATTGTGTCAATCCAGCTCACTGAGGGTTTCCTTTGTTTTTGCTGACCCTCTAATTTACTAACCACGATGTCCTTTTCTAGCAACTGGTCTTTCCAGATGACATGTCCAAAATAAGTGAGCTGAAGTCTTGCCATCTTCAGTTCTAAGGAGCATTCTGGTTGATTTCTTCTAAGACTGATGTGGTAATTCTTCTAGCAGTCCATGGTATATTCTATATTCTTAGCCAACACCACAATTCAAATGCATCAATTCTCTTCTGTCTTCTTTTTTATTGAAGTAACAAATTGACTGTTTTGTTATTCCGGTAACCTAAAAAAAGTGAGAGCTGGAGGGACCGATGAGAATAAAACAATTTTACCATGAAATAGGGTAGAAATTGCTAGAAATGAACAGGTACCAGAGGCCTAT